GTAGATCTTAGTTTGCTTACTGTTCTTGCAATTTGGAAGTTATTTGAATTAATTTCTAATAAGTTTTTTGATTTGTTAGAAGTTAGGAGGTAATTAAGGTAGTTAATATTGCATATTATTGGTTATTTTCAATTAGCAACCATTTGTTTGTTAATTGAATTTACTATTTTTGGTTTCTTAGATTAGAATTACATTCAAAGCATGTTATATTTAATTCCTAGTTCTCTTGTGTACTATTTTTTATTGAATTAACTATAGAGAGACTATAGAGATAATAGGTACTTAAACTAGGACTTCTTAGCTCATTCTTATATGAACGATATCTTTACTTCGGTCAATGTTATTACTTGAATGATTTATGTGTTTACAAAAATTTTGCAATCACCTTCATCTTCTTCTTGTTCAACTTTCTAGTTGCTGCCATCTTGATTTCCTTTTCTTTCTCTATTTTTCTAATTCTTTCTTGTCATTTTTTTTTGTTCTCTTCTTTTGAAATCTCATCTCCCCTGTCCTTATTTTCGTTAGTCCACAAACGTACCAAACTAACCCCTTTGGATCAAATTCTTAATCTCATTCTTTAGGTCAATGTATTTTTTAATGTTGTGACTATAATTTTTGTGAAAAAAGCACATCTTTTGTTTAGACCTCACCTGATGTTTTACCTCAGTGGCTTTGGCCATTTGAGCTCGAGATCCCTTTCAATATGCATCAAAATCCTCTCTTAAAAGGTATTTAGTGCAGTATAGTTACTATGTCATTGGCGTGGGCTTTTCACCCTAGGGTACCTTTTTATTTTTTTTTGTCTTAAAAGATTATAGATTTTTTTTCCTTTTCGCAAGCCAAGGAGGGGGGATAAGCTTTCTTACCTCCACTGTTTTTCATTGTAACTTCAACATTAATGTATTTCTCGACGATGAGTAAGACATTGGCTAGAGTTTTTGGTAACACTAGCAGGAAAGTGAGTTTGAAGTGGCATTCTTGATCATTTAATCCACTTATTAGAATAGCGACTATAGTTGCCTACTCTAAGTCTTTAACCTAAAGAGCCTTAACATTAAAAAACATGATGTACTCTTTCAAGGATTCATTTTGGCCTTGGTAGTTCGACATTAAGCTTAGTGTAGTTTTCTTTGTTCGTTGATTGCTAATGAACTTAGACAAGAAAGAATGGTTGAGTTGTTTGAAGGTTGTGATTGACCTTGGTTCCAAGCTATTATACCATGATCAAGCTACTATTTTCAATGTAGTGGCCATTCCTTTGCACATTAGAGCATCATTGGCTCTTTGCATCATCATATTAGTCTTATAAAGCTCAAAATGATCAAAAGGCCAAATGTCCCATCGTGGATCTCTAAGGTTGGCATCTTGAACCCTTTTGTTAGTACTACTAAATCAATCTCTTTAGTAAAAGGAAGGTTTTCAAGAACCTCAGTTCATCATCAAAAGTTAAAGCATTATTTTTCAACTCATTCTTTATTACTTCTATTAAAGCTTTTAGATCATTCTTTGGTTGGGTTTTTGAGGTGGCTTATTTGAATTTTTAGGTGGTAGCTTGGTTCAGATGTGTGTGGGGTAGTGGGTCATAGTTGTTGTTTCTTTCTCACCATTTTATGCCATTAAGGCTACAGTGTCATTATAGCTCGGTAGTTTTTAGACATGTGAATTTTTTGGAATGGTCAGGTTAAATGCTTTTAAGATCTGAGGTGGGGTAAAGTTTTGGATCCTTCTTTAGGGATTGAAGTTGTTGGATAAGTGCTTGGAATTGCTTCATGGTGAGGTCTACTGTAGTAGATTGATTTAGGATGGGTTGGCTGAGCTAGGTTTTTATTCCAACAACAGTTGTTTCTCCTTCTTCGGGGACTCTCTTTCTATGTGGCATTTTTAGCTCGACTAATAATTATTGCCCCTACCTGGCAAGTTAAATGTTTATGCTGAGTTGTCTTTGAAGGGTAAAATATTGAAAACGCAGGAAAGAGAAAGAAAGCAGTTAACAACAAAGGTTGGGAGTGGTCTCAACATTTGTGCTTTAATGCTTATGTCAAAGATCAGCCTTAGGAGGAAAAAGAATAAGATAGTATGAAAGTGTATGAAAATAAGATAGATGAAAGGTATTTGAATGGTGCTATTTATACCTATGAAATGAAGGGTTTTGGGTAGCCTAGGTTGCCTAAGGTCAACCCTAGAGGACTATAGCTGACTTGGTAGGTCTGAGCTGAGTTGATAGTTGATTGTCCACTTAGGGCATGACAAGTGAGTATCTTAAGGGATCTAGTATATAGATTGCTAAGGTGACCAAGCTTACATGAACCTATGGATTTAGGTCAGCTTGACACGTTAACTTGAATAAAATGACCAAAGTACCCTTGATTGTCAGCTGACTTATACTAAGAGAAAAAAATCCATTTTGCCCTTTGGATGGGTATGGTAGAGAGAGGAGAAAATGGTGGTAACAACAAAGGAAGAGGTGGTGGAGAAATAGTAAACTTCATTGCTCTGGTGATCATTTGGTTGTTTGGTTGCAAGGTTGCTATAGATAGTTGAACCATTGTCATTTAGCATTTGCAATAAAAGTACTGAAGCTTGAAAAAGCATTTAGAAAAAGCAAAAAACAATTAAAAATACAATAATATCAAATCAAAATGCATAAAAAAAAACAATTGAGTAAAATTCATTGAAATCACATAAATTTAAAGATCACCTAAAACTTTCAAGAACACCTTTGATTTTTCCTTTAGCATAATGAGAGAGATTTCTTTGTGCATTGTTTAGAGAGACAAAAAAAAGTAAATGAGGGAATTTGAGAAATAGAAGAAGAAGTGGATTAGGTTTACAAAGAATTGGAGGGAAAAAGAGTGGGCTACAGTGAAGTGAAGCGTAAGAAAAAATGAAAAAGAGTTCTGAAAACTAGTAAAACAAACTTATAACAGAATTACTCTTTGCCCACTTTTTTAATATTTTTAATGGTTTCACCCCTTGATTTTAATCGTCCTTAATCACTCTATTAAGGGCATTTAAGTAATTTAATTTATTAATATTTTACCGTTTCTAAATTCTCCCTATTTGAAGATGAAACGTCATTTGATGATATAGGCCGTTTGAATTTTTATCAAGATATTTTGGACAGTGTACGAGCATTTTGTGGAGATAACACTTGAGTACTTTAGAGAGATTCATATGAAGAGAGAGTCTAGTTTTTTTTTTTTTTTTTTTGCTATGAAGTGTGAGTGTTAAGTCTCGCAATCACATTTTGCAATTTTACAAAGCACTTGCAGTGCATTGCAGCAATGCGCTATCCGCATTATCACGAATGACGTAAGTATCCTCCTGGTTTAATTGTACCTAACAGGATGCCCCTTTTTTCATCATGAAGTTTTAATATTAATAATAATTTGATTAAAGAATAATTTGCTTATAATTGAAGTTAATTTGAGATGAGAGTGGTTTTGTGTATGGGGATTTTACAAAATTTTCAAGTCATCAATTAAGACATATATTCCATTTAGGAAGAGTGAAGCCATCAATTTTTTTAGGAGTTTGCTTCTTTTTCACAATTATAACTAGCTATTTTTTGTCCATCCATTTGCTTTCCTATCAGATCAATTTTCAAAATGATTTTTTTCTAAAAATAAAAAATAAAAAACAACTCTCTAACAAATTAATCTTCCAATCAAAAACCCTTTTGGGCTGTTGTCATGGTTGTTAAGTTAGCTATACATTTCTTCCCTATGTAACCTAATTTGTAATTAAGATTTAAGTTTCTCTTTCATTTTCATTTGAGTTCGGCCTTGAGCTTTTTGCTCACCTAGCGTTGCTGGGGATTTATCAGGCAACGGCCTCTCGTTCTTGTGAAGTTTGTGAGATCAGATGAGGATGATGGTCTTTCGCAATCATCATCCCAAGTTTCAATTATGAAACTCTAGTCCATTCCATATTTTATTATTCATCAACTTGCTAGCTTGCTGCATGGTGTCACGGATTTAAGTAGGAGTCCTGAATCCCACATCGAACATAAAATAAGGGTCACTGGGGTATAAAATAATTCACACCACCTTTGTCTTGTGAGGTACCTTTTGTAGGACAAAATCATGAGGCCAGGAGGGTCAGAACATACAATACCTCACAAAGGTGTAAACCAAGATAGGTAAGCTGATCTGAGATGCTGGATGAGTGGATGCCTGAGTCTCACAACGGTTCGAAAAGTGATATCAGAGCCAGTCCTAAACCGTTTGATCCACGCCAAGCACCTCGAGGGATGTAAGCAGAGTAACCAGCCTCCGTGACGAAGGCGTCACAAAATTGAGTGAGGAAGAATGTCACGAAACTAAGGAGGAGTCCTAAATCTCACATCGAACATGAAATGAGGTTCACTGAGGTATAAAAAAGTTCACACCACGGGTTCATATCACCTCTGTCTTGTTTTATGAAGCGCTTTTTGTAGGATAAAATCGTAAGAGCATTGAAACCAAAGCGAACAATACCTCACAAGAGTGTAAACCGAATAAAGAATATAAAAAAGACTATAAAAAATACAATGAAAAAAAATTGAGTCAATTTTTTTTATTGTATTTTTTATTATTAATTATTATTAACATTTTCTATTTTTATATGTTATTTTTTCTTGTTATTTTCTCTGTTTTTTATTTTATTTTATGTTATTTTTTTTTTTTTATCTTATTTTATGTTATTTTTTTAAATGCAATTACTTTATTTATTCAATTGATTTTTTTACAATACCTCACAAAAGTGTAATTCGTGATAAATAGACTGATCTGAAATACCGGATTCGCGTGGATTCGAAACTTAAGTCTCAACACGTAACATATGACACTTAGCTGATAAGGCCAAAGAACGCTAACATCTCTTATTTCACATCAAACGTAGGTGTCAAAAAAAATTTTTTTTTTAAATTCCAATTCTTTTATAATATATACAAGTAATAAAACTCAAAAATTTTTTTTAAAATTTCTTAATATTAAGAATTAGACACAAGATCCATTTTAATCAACGGATTTTCTCCATATATATGTATGTCATTGGAAGCGAGTGTATACACACACACACATGTAAAAGGATCAGAAATATAAATAGATGGAACTGACAGACTTGGTTGGATTTAAACAGAAGTATAAGCAACATGTGGCACTAACCGAATCTGGAACTGATAATATGTACAATATAAATACTGAGGACTTAATAGCTCCTTGTCACATTTGCATTATCAGAATCATGGTCCTCTGATTTAGCAAATCGTCCTTTTACCCTTTTCTGTACATCAGCTCTAGCTTTCTGAGATGCAGAACGAGTTTGTCTTTCATGCCTGAACATAGGAGATTCATCTGCTATAAGAAAGAATAATAAAAGAGATAGGTAGCTCACTTATCTGCCTCTTTTTTATTTTTTTTTTTTTGGGGGGGGGGGAGAGGGGGACAGTAGCTATATGTTTATTCATATATACGTTTTGGTGCTTCCCGATTCTCAAAAGTAGGTAATTGGGCAAGAAAATTCTATAAACATGCATATGCATGCGCATGTGCATGTTTGCAACACATTTTTTATACAAAACTTAAAGCTTGGAAACCCCAGGTACATCACTTACAAATTTTCAAATGTGAACTTTCAATAGAAATGGGATAATTGTTTCCACCGACATGAAAGCTTCAATGCCCCAAAATACTTATTCTGTCAATATGTGAAGATACTTAAGAGCAACTACTGTTGTAATGGAATGTTCTCAATTTTTCAGGTTCAAAATCGACATTAGTTCTCAAGATTAGAACATATTGCAGGTGATCTGCTCATATTTAGCTTCTTACAATATCATAAAGCTACAATTTTATGAAGTATAAGCTATTGTGATCAAGAGGTTATTTTGCAGTATAAACCTGCAGCAATCTATATCTGGATTCACTTGTTTGAGGGTTGGGTTTTGAAATTTTTTGAACTGCTCAGGTTGTGGAAATATGACCAAGGTTAAAAACCTGATAGACAGATTATTCTTTTTGGTTCCTACCGGGTGCAGCAATTTTCAAGTACTAGACGTAAAAATAAAATCCGCTAAACATGTCAAAAAAGACAGAGGTAGAATATAAAATCTGCAAGAAAAGAGAAACCTAATACTCACAGTCGGGCTTTCTTCTTCTCTTTGTACCTCATCATGGCATTTTCTCTGGCTTCTGAATGCAAGCTGTCTAAGTCAGGTGAAATGCCTGATGCTTCCCCCTGTGTGATAGGTGAAAGTCCACTATCAAGACAGTCAGTACCACTGCTTTCAGCACTAAACCTTGAAACTGAGAAGGAAATTGTTGAATAAGATGGTCGAATTGGGCGAGGAGTACCAATGATCCCCTGGAAGTTATGAATGTGGTTAGGAGGATCCATATTAATTACTAAGTGAGCATACTGAAAGGTGCAAACAGATGAGCCCAAAGAAGATCCTAGCATCAAAGGAACACACAAATAAAAGGTGTAAAGGTACTTCAAATTATTCTGCCCTAGTTTCAACTTTTCACATCCAAAGCAGAGTGTATAAACTCGGTATAAGAGAATGTAAACTTTATATATGGTTTTTGAGATAACTTGAAGATAAGTTGCACTCTTCAACATGAGCACACATTGGCAGAGTGTTTTTTCGACAATAAAAGTTGTGTGTGTGTGTTTCTCTCTCTCTCTCTCTATATATATATATAAGAGGTACTCTTTAACATGAACATACACACAAATATGCATGGGTGAGAGAACATGAAAGTATACATTGAAAGTCATGTAGTATAGAAAATATCCAATTATACTTATTCAAAAGGCTACTTTATTTTTATAATTTCAGTATTTTTTTTCTTGAAAAAAAAATGTAGAAAAAATGTTAACCTTCTCTATCTAACAAGAGAATTCCTTTCTTTACAAATTATTTCAAAAAATTAAAATATTAACACTATAGAAATCTGATTCTCCTACATTAAGGCAACTTGATTTCCTAATTTATTTTGGGAATATTTCTCATTTACTCCTTTGATTTTGTCAACTATTCTAATCGTCAAGTTTTTAGGGATTTGTTTCTAATTTAGAATAGAATAATTCTCCCTTTTATTATTTTTTGTTTTTTGTTTCATGTAAGTTGTTTCCTAATAAGGAACTTTACTATTCCTATTTATTTAGATGTACTCCTTCATTGTAGCCAGAATAAAAAGAAATAAGGACAATTGTTCTTTAAGTTTCCTACATAGTATCAGAGCAAGTTGGCCTGAACCATTAGACTATAGCCACACGAGTTTCTGTTAAGGCTAGAAGGAGTGCAAACTCTTCTTTTGCAAAGGTGTGGCATGAAGAAAATCACAAAGAAGTGATGCTTCAACGAACCCTTCAAAACAAGTCTGCAACCTTTGGAACTAGTTTACTAGCACAAAAAGATAATTTCCTAAATGCCTTAAGCGTTCAACAAGGAAATACACAATCTTGGATTGTTGATTCGGGAGCATCAGATCACATGATTGGAGATGCATCCTTATTCAACACATATAGACGTTGCTACGATAGTTCTACTGTAAAAATTGCTGATAACTCTCTCTCAAAGGTGGCATAACACTAGACTCCATCCTCCATGTCCCTAATTTAAGCTGTAACCTACTTTCCATCAGTAAGCTTACGAAGGATAAATGTTGTGTCATTAAATTTTTTCCCAGCTTGTGTGAATTTCAGGAATTGGGCTCAGGGAGGATTATTGGCAGTGCTAAGATGTATGCAAGGCTCTACGTTCTTCAAGATGATGCACTTGAAAGACCACAAAACTCTTGTGCAACCTTAGCCTCTAATACTAGTAAGGATGACCTTATCATGTTATGGCATTATAGATTAGGCATCCAAATATTTCATACCTAAAAATTCTATTTCCCTCATTATTCAATAACATCTTTAAAGATTTTCAGTGCGAAATTTGTCAACTTTCCAAGCACACTCGAAATACCTACCCTAGCCTTTCTTATAAATCATCTAAGCTTTTCTCAATAATTCATAGTGACATTTGGGGACCGTCAAGAGTTAACAATATCATAGGTTGTAGGTGGTTTGTTATATTCATCGATGATCATACTCGACTCACTTGGGTATTCCTTATGAAAGAAAAATTTGAGGTTAGCCAAATCTTTAAAAACTTCAACAGCATGATACAAACCCAATTCCAAGTCAAAATCCAAGTCTTAAAACCTAACAATGGAAGGGAATACTTCAACTCTATTCTTGGCCATTACTTCACAAAGCATGGCATTATCCATCAAAACTCTTGCTTTGACACTCCACAGCAAAATGGGATTGCCGAACACAAAACAGACATTTGATAAAAGTAACTAGATCCCTCTTGTTGACTTCCAAAGTGCCTAAATATTTTTAGGGAGAAGTTGCCCTCACTACAACTTATTTGGTTAACCGAATGCCTTCTCGAGTTCTTAGCTTTAAAATACCTTGTCAAACGCTCCTTGCTTCCTACCTACAAACTCGGTTAATCTCTTCCATTCCCATCAAACTCTTTACCTGCGTTGCCTTTGTTCATATTAGCCAACAAAACCGTAGCAAGCTTGATCCCAAAGCCTTAAAATGCATCTTCTTTGGTTATTCTCCAAACCAAAAGGGCTATAGGTGTTACTCACCCATCACAAAAAAATTCTATAACTCTAAGGATGTCGCCTTCTTTGAGAATCTTCCATACTACAACAAGAATGATATTCAGGGGGAGAATACTACTTAGGAATATCAATTCTTAGCTATTGACTTGCCAATTTCCCAACCAACCCCTTCAAAACTAGATTCCCAACCAGCCCCTTCAAAACTAAATTCTCAACCTACCTAACCTATCAGCCATGCAGATTCTGAAACCCAACTTGTTCAGACAACTCTTGACTCTACAAACCCTCAGGTTATGCCAAAAAAAACAAGAGAATTGATAATCTACTCAAGGAAGCAAAAACCACAAAAAGTGGACAACAGTACACAACTCAGCACTAAAAATCAACTGATCCGAGTCTCCAAGAACCTGAAACTAACATAAGTAATGCCCTTATTGAATCTGAAACTGAAACTTGTGAGCTAGTTGATGACCTTGACATTCCTATTGCATTAAGAAAAGGTGTGAGATCATGCACCCAGTACCCTATCTGCAAGTACATCTCATATGACAAGTTAAATCCAAACTTTTGAGCCTTGACTACTAACCTTGACAATGTGCAAATTCCAAAAATTACTCAGGTAGTCCTTAATGAACCAAATTGGAAGGCAGCAGTTCCTAAAGAAATCAAGGCATTAAAGAAAAATGGGATACGGGGAATTTCAGATTTTCTAAAAGAAAAAATCCAGTTGGATGTAAATGGATCCTCACAATAAAGCACAATGTAGATGGAAGTATAAACAAGTTCAAAGCTAGACTTGTTGCAAAGGGGTTCACTCAATCCCATAAGATAGACTATGAGGAGACATTTGCTCATGTAGCCAAACTCAATTCAGTTAGAGTTCTATTGTCACTAGCAACCAACTTGGATTGGCCTCTCCACCAACTTGATATCAAGAATGCATTCTTAAATGGTGACTTAGAGGAGGATGTCTACATGGAAATTCCCCCTGATTTCAAAAGGCAAGACAACATGGGCAAAGTGCGCAAACTTAAGAAATCTTTGTATGGACTTAAACAGTCTCCTCAGGCTTGGTTTGAACGATTGACCAAGGCAATGAAGAGGTATGGATTCCTTCAATGTCAATTTGACCATACTATGTTTGTTAAGTTCACTAATGAAGGAAAAATAGTTATTCTTATTGTTTATGTGGATGATATCATAATCACCGGAAACCACAAGGAAGGAATAGATTATTTGAATAAACTCCTCGCAAAGGAGTTTGAAATAAAGGACATAGGGTCCTTAAATATTTCCTTGGATGGAAATGGCCCGGTCTAAGAATGGAATATCAGTATCTCAGCGTAAGTATGTACTTGATCTACTCAAAAAAACTGACATGATTGGATGCAAACCTACCGATACACCCATGGACTCAACTAATAAAATTGGAAGTGAAAATGTAAGCTCTCTCACGAACAAAGGGCAATACTAAAGACTAGTTGGGAAGCTTATTTACCTCTCCCACACATGACCTGATATCAAGTTTGCAATAGGGATGGTGAGTAGATACATGAATAATCCAACCAAGGAGCATCTCAAAGTTGTTCAACACATCCTATAGTACTTAAAGAAGAGTCCTAGTGAAGGTCTATATTTTAAGAAGTAAATGGATAGGGTAGTTGAGATGTATACAGATGCTGACTGGGCTAGATCAGTAACAGATAAAAGGTCCATTACTGGGTATTGCACTTATGTTTGGGGCAATTTGGTCACATGGGAAAGTCAAAAGCAAACTATTGTAGCTAGGAGCAGTGTTGAGGTTGAGTTTAGAGCAATGTCCCATGGTATTTATGAAGGAATTTGGCTGATAAGGTTACTTGAGAATTAAAAGTTCAGACTGTGAGATCTATGACACTGTTTTTGTGACAATAAGGCTACTATAAGTATTGCCAAAAATCCTATTTATCATGATAAGACCAAGCACATAGAGCTGGACCAACAGTTCATAAAGGAAAAGATAGAAAATGGGTCAGTCAAACTAGCCTATATCCCTACAAGTTCACAAATTGCAGATATTTCGACTAAAGCTCTTCCTAGAAGCATTTTTTACAGATTGAAATCCAAGCTAAGTATGATTAACATTCATAACCCAGCTTTAGGGGGAGTGTAGAAATCTGATTCTCCTACGCTAGTGTATATCTGATTCTCCTACATTGATGCAGCTAGATTTCCTAATTTATTTTGGGAATATTTCTCATTTACTCTTCTGATTTAGTCAACTATTCTGATTGTCAAGTTTCTAGGGATTTGTTTCTATTTGAGAATAGAATAATTCTCGTTCCTTTTATTATTTTTTGTTTTCTGTTTCATGTAAGTTGTTTCCTAACAAGGAACTTCACTGTTCCTACTCATTTAGATGTACTCCTTCATTGTAGACAGAATAAGAAGAAATAAGGATAATTGTTCTTTAAGTTTCCTACAAACACTAACATAATACACAAATTAAATTATAAATTGTTTATTTCTTCTAATTGTATGTTCATTTTGAACTAAGAAGAAAAACTCGAGAAAAGAGATCTATGTGGAATTTAGTCAGTAGCCATGTAAGACTAAAGAACAATCTATCAATGTAGCTCGTTGAAAAATTTATCTCCAAACTATTGTAGAAGTATGAATAGAGTAATAGTTGTTTAAAGGAAGTATTTGTCTTCGCTTTCAGTTCACTTAAGCTTTGGATGTGAGAATTCTAACATTTGGAATCTAAAGTGAACTAATTGCGCTTGAAGTACCTTTATAAAGGCCTCCTAGCACAATATCTGTATTATAAAGTCATAAGATAAAAGGAGTGCCTCGATCCTAACCTCCATTGGTCTTGCATTACCATTATCTGATTTATTGAAGGACATCTCCTTCTCTAGAGATGAGCAAGAAATATCTTTGTCACCAAGTAGTGCGCTGATTGAATCTTGATCACCACCAAAAAGTTCTTCAAAGTTGCGGAAAGTTAAGTCAATATCAGGCATGTTAAATTCATCTTGGCAAAAAATGTCTTCACAAACTCCAAGGTCTTGCATATTTTGAGACCACAACTGCAAAATTCAATTAATAATAATCACAGTTCACTTCAAAAACTGATCATGCTCAAAAGTCATACTTATTGTCAACTCCTACAATATAATCCTTATTGTTACTCGAACAGGAAAATCTTTGCATGTGTATAAGGTAAAGATTGTGCAATGAGAAATTTAAAAAAAAAAAAAAAAAAAAAGAGTAACTATGCATGACAAGACCTAGACCCATATTAAATTTATAAGAACTCTCTTGCTATTTGTTCTACAGAAATGATTTTAACCATGCTGCTCTTTATTATAATAAATTTATTCCTATAATTGGTAGTCACCAAAAAGCATTCACAATCTCAATTTATATGGTTATGAGGGTGACACAGAAATATGCAATGTGTCCATAGCATTAGAGAGATGACAAGTGCAGCAGTAATTGGGTGCTCATTAACATCAAAACCTGAAATAATTAGGCCCCATCTAATTGATGCTTTATTTTTTTTTTGTTATTAACCTTTTGTTTTCTTCCTTTTTTTTTTTTCTTGCAAATAAAAATAAATAAATAGCTAAAACATCAATCAAACAGGGCCTTAGGATTTTGTGTCACTTCCAGAAAGAATGAAATAGAAAGCATGAAATGAATGTTAAGTTGAAAGCAGCAATTTGTTCTAGAATGGTTATTCCCCGAATTGATTTAAGGAGCTTCAATGGTATATTTCTATTTTTTTTGCCCTTCCCCTAATTGTGTCCAGCTTCTGTAAACAACTTATGGATGAGTCACTCGTAAACAAAAGCCTGCATCTGAGTTAATTGAAAAGGGTCCAATAACTGGGCCAAGTTCAAAACAATAGCTTGCAGCCAACATAGCTGCAATTCATCCTGGGTTTAGAATATTGCCTCTAGTGATCACAGATGTTAACTAAGTAACTACTTTACATGATATGCAATTTAATATGAAATCACAAATGGGTTGCAGTAAAACCAATGGCCACAAGAGAACCATAACAATCAAATAGCTTAGCACTAGCATAATACCCTGTGCATTTGCCAACCATAAACGAAGACTTCTTTCTATCCTCATGGAGCTCCTATGTTCTATCAATGATGTATTAAAGTTGACCATATGACTGGTGATCTACAATAAACAATCCATTTTTATGACTTGTGATCAGTGGAACAAACCTGACTATCATGAATTGGACTTTTACATTGCCAAAAAGATTCTCCATACAAAAGCATCCCAGAAGTTGAAGATGACGATAAGTTCTCTAGATGAGTAAATGACAAGGGCAGAGGATCTGCATTCAGCTCATCAAGTGGATTGTCACTTTGATGGAGATTGGTGCCAATATCCTGGACTAGATTACTATCAACATTTTTTGAAGAGTTGCATATTGAAGAAGTTGTGTCAGCTTGTTCTAGGGCACAAATAAAAGGCAAATGGCTGTCTCCCTCAGTGAGCTGAAGCTTTTTCAGGTCAAGAATCTGTTGCAGAATAAAGGAGGTATTTTGCTGCTGTTGACCTTTATTAATAACCTGCAATAACAAGAACACACTAAGAAGAGTAGCTATTTAGCCCTCAGGAACCATGAAGTAAATGTTATTAATCTCTAAAATTTTATTAAATACCCTGTATAGCTTGAGGTTAAGTTACCATAATTAATAGCAAACTGCCAGGTCAACAAGAATTCCAACTTTGGACTGACCTAACTACCAATTACTATTGGTTCTAATATACATTACATTGGTTTACCCCGAAACATATCTGAGGAAGAAAAGACGAATCTATTCAACATCCAAAATTCTACAAAAAGAACTCAAAGTGGATCAAAAAATTTACTGATGGAAAGATCACCATGTGGGAGAAAAGAAAAGAAGATTTGAAAATGAAGGGAACAATAGTTGAAAAAATGGAAAGTAATGTATTGCCATTGGGTTGAACATTTCTGGTATATGACATATCAAGTATGCATAGGACTTTTGCTACTGGTATATATTTGAAAATGAAGCCCTATCATCATTGCACCAATAGCTAAGCAGCAGAAGAGAATATTAATATTATAACTAATAGTTTCAGTAGGTTAGCAGAACCAGTTCCTCCTTCACTACTTGATAACCTGATTTGTTGACTCAAATATGGACAAGTAGCTAGAAATAGTCAACGCATCAATTTTGACTAGGTCCTAGGTAGCAAATGAAAATCCCTCTATGCTAAACGCCGCGAACCCTTAAAAATCTTTAGATGATTGTTTCAAAACTCATCTTTCAAGTAATTCTAGTTTTAGATGATTAATTTGTCTTATTTTAGCAATTTTTAGCTACAATTCAATTAACAGAATTTTTTGTTTTAGGCAGGACATTTTAAAACCTATATAAAGGGTGAACTTCAGGCTATCTCATTTAAGTTGTTCAAATATCACTGGTTGATATTGCTTTAAATGATTCTGATCAAAGTGGCATATCAGAAGCAATTAGTAAGTAATCCGGCTTCATGCTTCTAACATGTGAGTGTGACATTAAAATTTATAACTGATAGTCTGATAAACTAGTTCAGTTTTCAGGATGATTCGACAGATTTATGAAAAGACCTCATCTACAATATAGAAAAATTTAAAGAAAACTCTAATAGAATTGAATTTTACTAATTATAATGATAAAACACATAAACATTAAACAAGTAGAAACTTTATGAAATCGAGAATGTTTTCCAATTTTTAGGATAGCTAACTGTTGGTTACATATGCTTGCTGCATATTGCTGACATCATGTTGGGGGAAACTCTCAAGTTTTCAATAAAAATGTAAATGGTGCATGCATAACGATAGCTGATAACCAATTGAGCAGTTAAAGAGAATATAGATGCAGTCAAAGAGAATATGGACAAATTATGTAGATCTACTTGAAAACAGTTAAATCATGCCAATTAACCTTGGTTCGTTGACTGTTTGATCCAATATTGTGTCCTGCAGCAGGGAGTGAAGTCACGCTGGATTTACATGAAGAGACTCCAATTCGTGAACATGACTGCCTTAAATTCTCCAGATTTACTGCATTGGGATTCATGGAAACACATGAATTGGATAAAGACAGATCTTGAGCGGGATTGTCATCCATCTCATTCAATTCAAAACCCCACAATGCTGCAAAATCTTTAGCAGAAGGGCACCCCAAATAACTACTAACTGCACGCCTCTGATGCTGGGAAGAAATATCGTGGATGCTTTGGTCACAACCATGACACATGAACATCCGGTGATCCAAACACCGAACATAAGATGGGCGGCATCTGCATGAGTCACATAGGAGGGTACGAAGATGCCTGTTGGAAAGTGCATTGGCTGAATGGACCTTTGCATCACAGGAAAGGCAGAGATGTGCTGCATCAGATTTGCAATAAACAACTGGTCTTGAAGTTCTGCAGAATTCACAGATTTTCTCCATTTCAAAGTTCTAAATTTCTAAAATGCTTGTGGTATATATACAAATGTTAGCTTCAAATTCATGATCTTGATAATCAACAAAAAGATTCTGTTCTTTTGATGAAGAAATCTCCTGCTCCACTTTCGAGGATCTACAAAAATTCAGAATAAATACTGAGACATGTAAATGCTTGCATATCCGATCTAAGAGCAAAGACACCTTAAAGTATGGAAGTTTCAAATTCAATAACCAAAAGGCCCAAGAGCCACGGGGTGAGATAATCCTAATATATGGCTACGCCTGACAGATAACCACCACCAAAAAGTATATTTTAAGCGTCAAAAAGATCCCAAATACTTGTTCAATGTTGCTATACTATGAAAAGGGTTGCTTTCTTTCAACTTCTAAAAAGCGGCTGACTTTGGACAAAAGCCAGTAGTATCAGAATTTTCTTTTTTTTTTTTTTTGTTATCACCTCATCCAAAGAAACGTAAAACTTGTCACTCAGCAACAAAAACCGCTCTGATCCTAGGTTTTGATAGAGATCTTAGGTTTGGACCATCACAATTTTTCTTTGTAAACAAACAAGTACTTCGATATTTTTTGAAGAAAAGTTAAAGAAAGAACCTTAATTTCTATCAATTCTAACTGCAAAACGAAAAAAATAAAAATAAAAATCACCAATCTGACAAATTCAGCTGAAACTAATTAGAATTATTCTTTTTCATACAGCCTTTTTGGTTTTTTTTTTTTTTTTTCATTTGAAGAATTCTTCCTGATCCTTTAGCAAAATCAAACCACTAAGCACAACCAATAAATTTTTAACAAAGAAAAAAAAGGAACACAATCCATTATTCAGCTGATCAATTAAACAAAGAGATCTAAGTGGCAAATATCCAAATTTGACAAATCCATGAACGATACACGTACCTTGTATTTGTTCCCCAAGAAAAGAAAACAAGAAACTGAAAATTCCAAGAAAATTCTACAAAAAAAGAAAAAGTGGTCGGCCTTTTGAGTCTGAGCTTCCCTTCTGAATTCTCATTTATCTTCACATTTCTTTCTTTCTGTTTTGCTTTGCTCCGTCTTTCTTTCTCTCTCTCTCTATCTATCTGTTTCACCTTTTTGGCTGACATGTGCATTAAGAGTGTGAACTTTATGCTGACGTGGACCTAATACTTTTTCCGTTGTTGGATCCACCAAAGCTATCCATATGTTTGTGAAACTGTTTAATTTGGCGCTTCAGGTCTTATGTCATGTGATCCAGATGGTTGCCCGTCAGGACAATAGCCCATTGCAGCGTGGCCATATGATTGCTATGGGATGATTGATGCGGCCAGCGGCCTACCCATGAATAGAAAGTACGTATCATCTAATTTTGTTCAAATTATGAAGTCAGTTGTGAACTGAACTGTGAACAAAATCAAATTTTAGTTTTTTTATATTCTAAGATTTGAAATTTTACGTCAAAATATAAGAGATTTAAAAATTCACTTTTAAGTTATTAATATGAAAATGTTTTAATTACGTAAATTATTGATGTGATATTTTTTCGATCGAATTGACCTTTTTTAGAAGAAATTTTATATTTTTTTTATCGAAAAAAGTAGAGATAAAATCTGTTACAAAAAATGCTGTACAATATTAACAAAAACTATACAAGTAAAAGCATATACATTTTTACTATTAATTTTATTAATCTAAGACTCCATCCCCTTTCTTCCCTTATATTATGTCACGTGGCACAAGTTTCCACCTTTTTTTCCTTTTTTTTTTTGGGTTTTATTTATTCAGATATTTTAATCTTTTCTCAATTTTTTTTAAATTTTATAAATATATTTTTTAAATTTCAATTTTTAGATGGGACCTACTTTATCAAGCTTTTTTTTATAATTTTTTTCTATACAAAGTTTAACTCGAGTACTGCATGGAACTACTTAAATGATTTTTTTGTTAAACTAATTTTGCAAAAAAAACAAAGTTGATGAAAATATTCACATGCCACCTCTATTTAGTATTTTTATGTTTCACTTTTTTTAGTTTTTAATTAGATAAATTTTAAAATAAAAATGTCAACTGATAAAAATATCAAAATAATTCGTATTTAACAAATTTTAATTTATCTTAATCCAATAAAAGATATTTTTTAAAATTAAAATCAAGTTGGTAAGAGGTTGAGTTTTTCAGCACCATCCCTCCCCTTTATTGTCCCATGTGGCACAAGCTCTTATTCTTTTTTTTTTCTTTTTTTTTCTTCAAATTTTTTCAATTTTTTTAAAATATTATAAATATATTTTTAAAGATTTTTAATTTTTTTACCAATTTACCAAGCTTTTTTTTTCCTTTTTTTCTTACAATTTTTTTAAATCCATCTATTAGATAAATTTTGTTTTTTACAGATCTTAACTTGGGTCTATGTGGCACTTTTCGATTTTTTTTTAATTTTTAAAATTTTTAAATTTTTTTTTTATATTGTTTATATTTAATAATTTTTTCCATTTAAATTTTTAAATGTAAGACCTACTTTATACCTATCTTTTGTTTTTTTACCTTTTTTTTTCTTTTGTTTTTTCTCATTTTTACATTTTTTATAAATATTTTTTAAAATTTTAAATTTTTTATGGGACTAACTTTATATGACTAGTCACCAACATCCCTTTGAAGACTAGAACAATACAACATGTAACTCCATACTAGTTTACCATAAGAGCAAGCGAAATATAAATGATCCATATCCCCATTAGTTTGTTTACAAAAAAAGCACAAACAATTTGCAAGAGGAAATTCCAAGGGGAAAGTCTAAAAAGAATGATCAACTAGTTTAGGATAACCATCCAAGCTATCAACGGATATTAAGGATATTATGCTGAAAGCATAGTACTTTGTCCTAATCCACTCATGGCTGCATATCTCATATGACATTACAAATTTCTACTACATTATATATGATCAAATTTTGTTACCAATCACCTAGGCTTCAAGAAGGAAGTTGCTACACTGGAAGTGGAATCAATTAGAAAGGAAGCTAGCTGCTTAACTTGAGTTCCATACCCACTTGGTGCTTAAAAAGATTGGATATACCAAAAATTGACACTATTCAACACATAAGCCTTAACCCAAGAAACCTAAAATTGACTCAAGTAAATAATATCTATGTGGTTGAGAATGCACATAAAGTTTTAGGCTAAAATATCTTTAAGCCTTGATCCATTTTCAACTTTAGGATGACAAATGAAGGCCCAATTGATTCTTGCACATTTAGCATCACCATCTTACCTTTCCAAAAAAAAAAAAACAAAACACGATTGAGAGACTTTCTTGAGAACATTTTTTGGAAGAAGAAAAATATAGCACCAAAAATTTTGCAAGCTAAATAAAACTGATTGGATTAGACTTAATCAACCAACAAATTATAAATGCTAGCCCCTAGCAACTATCAGTCCTCCTGGTTAACTTTTCTACCAAAAGATAATAGTCTTTTTTTAAAGCCTCATTAAAATTAAAGGCACTCATAAATATTTAGTTGTTATTGACACCTACTTTTATTCAGACCTATCTTAGTCAAGTTGGATATTCAAAATCAAGACTTGAGTTTTTTTAAAGAATTTTGATGCTTTACAAGTATTTCAGATTTTTGAATAAGTTAATTCTTTAGCTGATGCAAAAAAAAGTAGTAAAAGTCAAGGGAAAAGGTAAAAGTCAACCTAAAAGTTAACTTAGTCAAACTTGATCAAATTAGAGTTTTTATGGCCAAAACCAAGGGGAAAGTTTCAAAATCATTTGAAATTGGGGTCAGTGGATAATATTTACAAAAAAGGCATTAAAAAATGCTTAGTTAATATCATGATTAACACCTAATTGTCAAAAACATTAGCATGCATTTTAACCACATATATCAAACATCTTAATCCCTAATTAGGAAAAATGAATCACGGTTATTAGGCTTACTTCTAAAGTCCACCTAAATATTGGAGATTTTATGAGTTTTAATGATCATAGATCTTCTAATCCTAAATCCTAACTTTGAAACCCTAGCCCTGAAACCACGAAACCTTAAACCCTTCATGAAACCCTAAATCCTAACCCTAAATCTAATTCTAACCCAAAACCTAAAATGAAACCCTAACCAAAACCATAAACTAAACCCTAGATTAAACCCTAATTCTCAAACCCTAAATCCTAACCTTAAACCATGAAACCCTACACCCTAATCCTAAAGCCTAAATTCCATGAAACCCTAAACTCTAACCTTAACCCCAAACCAAACTTTAAACTTGTCCTAAACCAAAAAATCCCAAACAAACCCTTTCCAAAGCCTAAATTTTAACCCAAAACCTAATCCAAATCACATTCATGTATATTTGCATTTTACTTGTTTACTAATTTTTTACATGCATTAGCATTCTTAATTATCATTTACATGTCAAGTTAAATTGCATTCATGCATTTATATTTGACATTTAAATTATTTAAATTGTTGTATTCATGTGATTTTTTTGAAAAAGAGGGTTTCAAAAAACAAAGGTGTTTTAGAAATAAAAGAAGATAATATTCCAAGTAAGAATAATTCTTGAGATTTTACCTAAATATTGGAGATATTCTCAACAATTACCTTGTATAAAGAATAACTACATGAAGTTAGGTTTTTAGTGGCCTTTTCTAAACTATTTAATAGTGTCTATAAACGATACTAAAATGTTAGCGGCATTTCCAAGTAACGTCTCCAAAAATGTCAAATAGTTTTACGCGTTTTTTTAAAAACGAGGTGAAAATTAATGGCGTTGATTTTACATTTAGTGACATTTTTTAAATGATTTGACATGGAATTCAAGGATGTGATTTTTGCAAATTTAGTGGCATTTTCTTGGATAAACATTGCTAAATGTAAATATTTAGTGGCATTTATAAAAAAAATGTCACTAAATTTTGAATACTAATTATATATATGGCTAAAAAAATAACATTTGGAATAAGTTGTTTTATATTTTTGTTATAATTACATTCAATACTGAAACATATTATAAAACACATAAAACTTAATTCAATTTCATTAATTAAATATTATAAAATATCTAAATACATTAATTGTTTGAGTAATTCATATGAAATTTCACATGTTTTTCAATTGCTAAAATAAAGAAAGCCAGAGCTATCTTCAGCAACATTGTTGGTATATTTGAAAGCATATCTGAAACCAAAAAAAAAGCTCAAACAACCTTATGCTTTTGGTTGTTGATTACAGTGTTGAGACTAATTTTTGAGCCATTATTCTTTTTTTTATTTAGGTATGGAAGGAATTGCCTTGGAAGTTGGAACTGGTGCCTAAAAAAGCTTACCAACCATGATTCCAAACTCTTAATCACAAGTAGAAACAAGTATTGCTTTTTTTATGTTCTACACAAAGATGAAGACTTGGTTTATGGAAAAGAAGTAGAGGTTTGCTACATGCTGATTGTTCTTTGGCTCCATTGCTTTATTGTTGGTTTAATTATTAGCTGCAATAGCTTTTGCTAATTATTATTTCAATCACCGAAGACTAGAATGCATTAAAACATGAAAATTCTTGAAAGAGAAATTTTTGCCATACTGACAAATAAATTATTTTATTTTACTATAAATAATTTACAAAATTGGTTAAACATCAAACTTTTGAAACAATATTGTGGGTTTCCATAATTTTATTTATAAGCATACTATTGGATTGTTTTGCATAAAATCTTAAAAGAAATCATGATGATTATTGATAATACA